GTTGGGCTACAAAAATGTATTTAAAGCAGTGATTCTTAATCTACGGCCAAAGGGAAGTACACGATCTGGTCGTGCAACTCTGAAAACAAATAAAACTTGAAGGGACGATTACAAAAAAAAAAAAAAAACTCTCTATATGCTTGGTCGCTCGGCCCTGCTTTAAATTGTCCCGCGGTCACAAGCGTGAGATGAGCCGAATTTACCACACAGCAACACCTCATCAGATGGTGAAATTGGGCTGTAAAAAATGAGGAAAAGTGCAGTGCCATTAACCACTGATCACTGTTCAAGCACCATAAATAGTCCAGTTTTATTGTGTGTGTGTGGGGGGGGGCTTCATTTGACATTCTTCAGTTTTATTTGCAAATAATCCCATGTCCACTGCATATATTCATGGCTTTTATAATTAATTGCATGTTCATCAAACTATCATACAGTATAAAGGATGCATGTGCCTCCCCTAACTGTTGCAAATAAAAAAAGGGGGGGGGCAGCTCAAATGCACCGTCCTCCAAGTGCCCTTTCACCCCCAGACTTTGTAAGCTGCACTTATTAAAGTGAAAAGTGTTTCAATATGTGGTAAGCTTCAGGCTCGGAGGGGGAAGGGGGTCGGGATGCATGATGAGGCCCCGGGTCCTCTAACCCCCCTTCTGCACGGGCCACCACAAATAATTCATCCATCTTGGTGACATTAGAAAAAAAAAAAGAAGTAGAACAGGGGCAAAATAACGGCACCGGGTTGTGTAACAAATACCAGTGATTCAATCAATTCTCTTTCACCTTTTCAATATCAGGGTCCACTGTTGGACACGCCGCAGCGCCGTTGGGGGTCCCCCTTGTGTCAGGTTCCAAGTCATGTTCCAAACTGTCCCTGACACGTCGTCTTACGTCAAGGTGAGACAGCACCGCCTTCTTTTGCCTCTCTTTCTTTTCGTTCTTTTCACCCCGACATGAATTCACGTGTTCAGCCACGTTGGAACGACAACAATGACGACAACAAAGAAATCATAAGAATGTAGAATTTAGTTGAGGTAAGGAATTAATTACGCAAACGCGAGACTCCTTGCAAAATATTTGTCTGTGATTTGGAAAATAGGCTACAATAATAAAAGATAAGGTGGGGGGGGGTTCAAAAAATAGACTCAGCGCGTCTGTATGTTATCGAGAAGTTTCTAAGCCGACATCATTTGCACCGTAGCCAATTAAAAGGAGCAATAACGAGCATTCAACATAAAACAAAGAAATCAAGAGCGCAAGTATTTTTCCACGGAAAACAACATATTTGAAGAAGGCCTCTTTTCACGCTGCCAAGGTTAAAGAGGACTTCTCAACAATTCCGGGTTTGTTGAGAATGAAATTAGAATGGCGGAATGTTTGGTGAGAAAATACGCTTTGAGAATGTGCCTCCCTCCCCCTTCTTCTTGAATGACCGTGGATGGAAACTTTTTTTTAAAAATGATCATGTTTTATTTGTTTTTTTTTTAAATGCAAACCGCACACACGTTTCATGCTAGATGCCAAATTCACTTTTTTTTTTTTTTTTTGGCGTGCACACTCACAGTCAGATTTTGCTCATAACGTGGCAGAACTATAAGACATCCGTGTCCACCCCCGCAGCCCCCCCCCCCTCCTCCTCCGCCTTCCCCTCCTCCTTCAAAAGACTCCACGGACCAAGCATTTGGTTTTGTTTGGTTAAGACCAGGCGAGACTGGAACTCTCCAATAAAAATAAATCTCAAATTAATTATGGCCCGGAGCGAGGGGGGCCAGACAGTTCGTGCACATACGTGCTGCCGACGCCACTTTTTGGTGGCCTTTTGGTATTTGGAATTCAGGCTTCCAGACTGGAGGGCCCACGATTTGACAGTCTGAATGTAGTCGAATGAAAGGCATCCAGCGCACAGTGACGTTGTCGCGGGATGACGAGTCTCGTCAATCTTGGAGTGACGTTGAATGCAAAACAAATACAAATCGTTTTATTTTTATTTTGGGTCGTTGTGTTATTGATTGTATTCTTTTTTTTTTTTTTTTTTATGTGATTGGTTTTTATTAAAACGAGACCATACTATTTATTCAATGTATTTTTATTATATGGTCTATTCGTAAGGAGAGAAAAAAAATACAAGACTGACGTTAACATACGACATCCTTTTTTTTCTTTGTTTCATTCGTTTTGGGTGCTTGTGGTGAAGAAAATACGAGAACGAATGTTTAATTGATTGTTTCTTCATACTTTTTGAATGTCATTCATACCATTTGAATTTGTCATCCACAATAAGATGCGAAATGGTCATGTTCAACTACAAATGGAACATGACAAAGTATAACATATTTGTTTTGTTCTTTGTTGTGTCAATGTTTTTTATAATTTTTCCAAATGTTTCAATGTTTTATTCCATGTATTTATTAACAGTATGTGCGGTTATTCTAACATTTGTATTTTATTTTCATCCTGATTATTCTCCTCTCCCATCCACCTCTTGTTTGGCCCTTCTGGCCTTCCATCCAGGGGTCCTCATCCACTGGCCCACAGCTCACTAACTTCAATATGCATCATTCGGTCTAGCTGAAGAGATGTATCTTTTTCAATCATAATTCCAGTTAGAATTTATCGGCAGAGTGGTTTGTTGTGAAAAACCACCACGTCCATCTGAGCTCAAGTCATATTTTTAAAAAATTCGTTGGGGGAGTTCTTCACGGTTCTTACGAATTCGGAGCTAAAAAAAAAAAAAAGAAAATTGGGGACCCCTGGGTCCATGTAACCCCTCCCCAATTCTGACATCCAGGGCCCTTCCAGTGGAAGGCCCCGTGCACGCAGGAGCACCACTGCAATGCATGTCTGATGGTGTGTGTGCAGAAGAAGAACTGTCTGCTGGCTGACTCCTTGCAACGTCGAGCCAGATGTTCTGTGGTTGACTGAGTAAACCAACTTGCATCTGTTTATTGGCCTTCCAAAATGTTTGTTACCACTGTATTCATTATGGTCTTGGGATAGGGCCCGGACCCCCTGTCACCCTAATAGGCTTCATGGGGAGATCTAGAGAGGAAACTGGTTTTTGGTAAGATGTTATCTTGTCTGACTGGTTAAATCCGTTTTTTTTTTTGGTTGTCACTTTTATAAAGTGCACTTGCGTCATCCAGTGAGATCCAGCACCGGAGCTGTATCTGCAATGCTTCCTCAGTTGTGATTGACAATGGCACATCAGTTAGTTTAATTTTCTTTAGTTATCATGACATTATCATTTGCATTCTTGTTTCATAAAATATCTCATTAGCTTCCTTTACTAATTGGCCAGCAAATACTCAGTCAGCAAATTATAATTCCTTGCTCTAAAAATGTGTTCTGTACCAAATGATGTATTTTTGTGGTTGCAGCTACATCTTATTGACGGGTGTTTTTAATATTTTGACCCACTCATGAACCTAAATAAGCTAACCAAAATATTAGAAACAGCTCACAGAATGATGCATTCTAGTTCCAATTCACGGCAAATACAACAATAAGCTTGCCTATCTGACCTTGAATGTCTTGATGAAGGCAAAACCTGCACGTTACTGCCCTAGAATTGTGCAGCTTGATCTCATGTGGGCGACGGTCATTAATCTGTGCCGAAAGAAAATGTTTTCCATTCAACTTTCAGGTCACACTTTTTTGTGACTGGTTCAAACAACAACCAGTGAGATGGCATGAAGCATTTCTATCTCGAAACTGCTCGATGATTCAAACTGAATACAAGAAACACACAATTAAGGCGACTTTAAAAAGAGGGAGGTGGTATCAAACTGGCCAGAGAAGAGTTAAACAAGGTGTCTCCCTTAATTATACGAGTCTGAGCTGGCCTCAGGCAGGAGAAGCCTTGACCCTTAGCAGGATCCAGATGTGGCGGTCCCAAGGGTGGGGCCCTCAGCCCCGCCAGACCCCCAAGAGGGGAGCAGACAGACCGGCCCTGCTGCCACTGGCGCGGTCTCAACTTTGAGCTGGCTGCAAAGAGTATTCATCAACGAGCTGACATTGAATTTCGAAGTACACTGGAGAAATGTCTCAAAAAAGAGCAGGATGAGGGTTTGACAACCTACAGCATGTGGGCCATATGCGGTCCGCAAGAGGATTTGATCCGGCCCACCAAGCTATCCTATGTCCCATCTCGCCCCATTTGGAAAAATACAGCTAAGCATTAGAATATATGTACTGTCTTGAAAATAACAAACTAAAAGGGGCTGTCCAATTGGTGTTTTCCCCTTAACGAATGTGGTGAAAATTTACATGCAAAATTGAGAAAAAAAATAACATTTTTTGCAAAGAGCGAAGTTTGACTGGGAATACAGAAAGGATCAAATAGGTGTGGGTGGAAATGATCTTTTTTTTTTTACCAAAGAAGAATGAACCCAGACTTGTAAATGCATTTGAAAACAAAATCCGAATGATGACGGTTGTACTTCCTGCAGTGCCACACACGTGTAGAGCAGATTTTTGGGGGGTGTTGCAGGGTGTTGAATGCATGGATGTGATTTATGGCTTCTCTGGGAAGTCTTCACCTTGACGTGGAAGCTTGTAAGGCAAAGAAATATTGCAACAAGCACTCGGATTTGTCATCTTGGGGTGATTTAAAGCCCACTCACCTCTCGATCGTGCATGCTCAGATTTGACTTTAAAACAGATCTTGCCAGATGTGATATGTTAAAAGATATGATGGAAGTAAATGTGTGCTACTAACTGAGCTCGGCCATTTATTATTATCATCAATAGTATCACACTCCCACCACCTCCGATATGTGTCATTTTTGGAAAGAAAAAAAAAAAACGTCACGTAAAAATGTTCCACAGCAGGCCGCCATCGCCATCCTGTAAATATTCCCCAGTTAGAAAAAAAAAATAAATAAAACAAAAACAAAAAAACATAACAACGGAGTGAACACTCAATTGTTTTGCCTGCTTATCTCCACCGGACAGTATCCTGCCCTTTTTTTTTTTTTTTTTTTCGAAGGCAGGGCTTTTGGGTGACACACCGCTTCCTTCTCTCAACCTTCCTTCGCAACAACAGCAGCAGCAAGCGAGCGAGCGAGCGAGCGAGCGGCGGTGACTTCACTTCCCAAATTTAGGACGAAAGAAAAAAAAAAGAAGAAAAAAAAAGTGTCTTTCTCTGCGCCACACAGACCGGGACTAGGCTGGAATTAATTCAGGAGCGTGTCATGTTTGGGATACCGTCGGAGTCCACTGAAAGTTGCCTAAAATGGACGGAACTATTAAGGTAAGGGTGGAGAGTGGGGTGTAGATCGTGGGGACCGCTTTTTTCTCCCAAAGTTGCGCCTCCTTTTTTTTTTTTTTTTGGTGTGCGTGTGCTGGGACCTCTACAGCGAGGACCTTTTTCTCTCGCTGTTCCTTTCAAACCATCCCCCTTCGACTGCTTCGTTTTTTTTTTTTAATCATATTTTTCCGAGCGCTGTGAGGATGTCGTGCGTCGACGCTTGAGTCGCACGTTGGATTTCTGAGGAGCGAGCGCGCAAATTACGCACATCTGGAGCGGCCCTATTTTACCCCGCAACACACTTTCTGTGGGAGGGGGGGGGGAGGAAAAAAAGTTGCATTTTCATGTTGGTAAGGTAAATGCCTTCTCCTTGACTTGAAGCTTGTTCTTAAGTGTGACCGGCGAGGCAGTGTGAGTGGATTGGAGGCTCCACGCCGGAGTGGAGCTGCGCAACGGTGGCGTCTCCGGTGACGGGTTCAAACGGAGCCTGTCATTGGTGGCAATAATGTGATGGTTCGGTGATCTCGAAGGCACCCCCTGATTATTATTAGTGTCACGTATTTCAGTATTTTCGTAGGAGGGGGTGTTGTGTGTTGTTTAAGGAAATCTGTTATTTGGCAACTGGCAAGCTTGCAACACTTTCAAACCACACTTCACAAAGTGTTCTCGTTGTCAGAGTTACACAACTCGTGTTACTCTCACGGAGTGGTTACAAAGTTGTCAATAACTAGTTGGTTAATGCTTTACCATGACAAAAGTCTCACAAGTGTGGCAGCAACTTGAACCACTTAGACATGCGTGATGTGGAAATAAAAAGGGGGATACATAAATCTTAAAAATAGGCTATTTAGCATAATTATTAGCATATTATGGTTGCCCTCATTGGAAAGTCGTATTTTGGTGAAATTGGTAGTCACAAGCAGTGCTGGGCTGAATTAACATTGGCTACTGCGCCCCCCCCCCCCTCCTCCTTTTGCCTTCTAGACAGTCACATTCCAGATGGCTGCAGATGCTTCCAGATGTTTGAATGGCAAGTCCCTCTCTTGGCCGACTTTCTAACAAGTGTCAGCCCCCAAAAATGCACCCAAAATCGAGCACACCTCATGAAAAGTACTGTTGTGTTTTGGGAGACATTTTAAGTAGGAGGTTTGTGGCAGTTGGGTGTGGTGGTGGTGAAGGTGGTGTGTGCGTGTGTGTGTGTGTGTGTTGAAGGAGTGTGAACGTTTGCCGTACCACAAAAAAAAACAAAAAAAGCTACGCATGAAGGCCATGCATGTGTGATTATTTTGTATGGTAGATGGATTGGATGCAAGAAGCATTGAGATGTTTGTCGTCAAAACCCAAGAATGAAGAATAGGCTCGTAATTGAAATGTGGGTGTGAATGGCTGGGCTGACTTGTGCACTCTTAAAGAAAGAACACGCTCTTGAGCCATGAGAGTTTCCTGTTCTACACAATCTTTTCCTGACAGGTTTCCTTTTCCTACTTAAACAAAAGACAGGAATGGAGCCCCTTCCTCCTTCTCCTCCGCAACGCCCTCCTGGTGGACGTCCGTTGTGTTGTGTGTGCCAAAGACACACACACTTGTGGGACTACAGGTGGAGAACGTGTTGTGATGCACTGAGATGGCTGATATAAACAAAAACAAGGCGGTGGCTCCAGGCAGGTGTTTGACTCACGTGAGGCATTGTGTGCGTCCTTCAAGATGGGACCTCTAGAGTTGTACTCAAAAAAACAAAAAACAAACAAACAAAAAAACAACCCAAAAAACACTGTAAGGATGAAAGAGTCAGTCAAGTAAAAAAATAAATAAATAAATTTAAATAATATGTCCTATGCACCCCCAGTGGTCAAAACATGGCTTTCTGGTGAGTAAAAAATGTTTGTGGAATATGAATTAAGTACCAAAACTCACTCATTTTTATCCATCTCAGGGGCGGCCATTTTGCCACCTGCTGTCGACTGAAAATGACATCACAGTTCCGCAGGGCTCAGGTAATGAACAATCATGGCTCACCTGTTTTCTGAGTTTGGTCATGTAATGTTTGTAAGTTGAGCCATGATTGTTCTGAGAAACTGTGATGCCATTTATTGGCTGCAAAATATGTTATGGCTACAGTAACAATAAATTTCAAATAATTCTTAAAGTTTTGCATAGATGGGTTTTTGGTCAGGAGCTGTCAGATGCTCAGGGCATTGTAAGCATTGTCATGGTGCGGCAGCAAGGAGCTATCCTGCCACAACTCTCGCCTCTTCTTGTGCAGAGACGTGTTGATCATCTGGGCCACATTGAAGGGAAAACCTCCTAGTCTGGATTTGAAATATATCTTTTGGGACACACCAGTTCTACAATTTTCCTGAAGCACCTTGTATAATAACCGTGGAACCAAAAACGGAATTTGGATATAAAATGAGGGAAAGCCAATTTTCCAATCCTGTCCTGTATGACATTGATGAAGTGATAAATAAGTCCAAATGCTGAGTGCGTCCTCATAGTAAAGTACAGTGGAGCATCTTAAGTCATACATTTTGGATCTCTCTAGTTGCCAAAAAAACTTCCTAGCGCAGTCATGGAGTTTTGAAAGACTTCAGCTCATTAAATTTCTTGGCTTTTTTTGGGAGAAGATTAGTGTTGACGAGTGGCTACTTGCTAAGTCCTCGGTTGGCTTCCGCACAGCACATTCAAGACAAGCGAGGAGCCCTGGAACAAGGCACGTAACTCCCTCTGTCATTGTCAAGAGTAAATTTATAGTCATAGTTTACTGTATGTTGTTGGCACTGGAAAAGGTCATTTGGAGTTGAAGGTTTTTTTTTTTTATGTTGTAAGTTTGAAAAGTTTTAAAGCATTGTACGGCACTTTGAGTTGCATTTTTATATATGAAAAGTGCTGTATAAATAAAGTTTGATTGATTGATAGGTACAGTAAGTCGATACACTAGTGCAGCTTAGGGGCAAGAAATTGTCTAGTGCGCCACTTTTGCTTACAGGGAATGCAATAGAGTAAAGTGGTACCTCTACTTACGAACGTCTTTTCATTCAATTATGAAACTCTTCAACAGGAAAATATTGCCTCTAATTATGAAAGAAATTTCAAGATACGAAAGGTAAAAATACAGTGTGGGCTTCTTGTCGCAGCTCCAAGTTTCCTGAACGCGACATGCTTATAGCTGCTCTGCCATTGGCTATTACCAAGCATCTTCCCGGCTCCCATTGGCTAAGAGCTACCGTAATCTGTAGATAGATAAATGGATAGATATGTGTCTATGCTGCGTCCTCGTCATTCGTCCCTCGGGCCATGAGGCGTTCCGATGGTTTGACGTAAATGTGAATCACCCAGAAAAGTGTTCACCAGTCGAGCGATCGCTCACTATGCTGATGTTTGGAAATTTTCGAAGGATAAAAGATGAAAATGAAATTGAATGGGGATGCGTTTCACAAGTGAATAGTTTTGTTGTCCAAACCAAGTAGAAGCCAGACGCGTTCGTTCGTTGTGCTTGTTGTACAGGAAAGAGAAAACACTGCAGATTTCTCCTCAGCAGAGAGGAGCCCGCTCCTATTTTTAAACGCCCTTCTCTACCATCTTGATGGGCACACACACCACTTGCCAATCATGGTTTCCACTTGACAGGCTGATATGTCACTTGGAATGTAACTTGCAACAGTCACAATATTCGCGGGTGTCCTTATCGGGCTGTAACGAGACGTTCCATCGCTTCTTGGCGTTTTATCGGTGGCACACTAGCTGCTGTGTGCTGCTTTAGATAGCAAATAATACTGCCAGGAATCAGACTATATGATGGATCAACTGATTACATCCCTGGAAAATCTAATTCCGGGAGGGAGGTTGAACGTTCTCGAGAGGTTTAGCTTTTATGCGACCATTTACGTCCATATTCTCCTCCCAAATGTGCTTTTTCTTCTTGATTTCTGGCACAGAACCGAGGCGACCGACAGAGAGCTTTGTCTAGCACAAGTTGGATATCATCTTAAGTGTGTTACTTGAAGGTGATTTTGTATGAATAATTGCATTGCGCTGTCTGTTTTTAAAGAGCAGTTGTTGCAGATCCATATCATATGACTTCATTTCTGACATTTACGTGTAGGCCATCTAAAAGTGTGTCTTCAGTGTGGTGGACAGTGTCGGACTGGAGAATCTCTGGCATCGCCGTGACGTTGGAAATAGTGATGATCTTGTCATTTTTTTCTCCTTTTTTTTCCACAAACATACGTGGCATTTCAGAATGATTTAAATTCCATCCTTTGAGGATTAGACACATCTCCGTCTAAGTCGTGCCATCAGATCCTATCAGATCCAGATGTGATTCAAATCCCGACTCGAAAGCATCCACACGTCATGAGAATGCCTCATATTCAGACTTATGAGTATTTCTCCCTGCGCATTTGGCGGATTTTGAATGGCGACGGCTGGAAGGGCAATGGCTCACCAAAAACCGATTGTCACGGAGCATTTTTAACAAAACTCCAACCGTGACATGTCTGGAATTTTGACATTTTCAGCATTTTAAACAAATCTAACACTTCCCAGGCATTTGAAGAGGAGCCCGATGAAACTGCGCAATAAGTTGTCCAGTCAAGAGTGGCTTTTGTTTTCTTTAATAAACTTACATTGCTTGCATTGCTGAGCCACGGCAGTTAGGTCAGTGTTGCGGTGACCCACCCAGTGCTTCTGTTGAGTCTTCAGACAGAAGACAAACAATACATTTCCATGGATGAAGCAATCTTTCACCATAGAAATTGTTGCACAGAACCGAAGACATGTAAGCAGAGTGGCATTTGTTTGCACCCTAACTGCACTTTGAGCATGATTGAAGTCGAACTAACGTCAACAGGAAGCAACAGTAGCTACAGGGGCTGTTTAGCCAAACTACTTAGGATGCCAGACTGTGATATGACCCATAACTACACGTAATTAGTGCTCAAAAAGCTCCCCTGGAGAGTAAATATTTGACATCACAAGTTTCGGTGTCGTTTAAAAAGTGGATTCTGATGTTCGCTTCGAAGCGATTCTTATCACTGTCATCGCCTGTCAACGTCCTGCCATTCTTAAAGGAAGAGTTCAACATGTTGGAGACTTCATTTGCTCTCTTGGCCCGGAGAGTGTTGAGAAGATTGATGTCATTCTCATGTGTTGGCAGGAAACGTTGGAGGTGAACATCTGCCAGCCAGCCCACCCAAAACTCACACACTTCCTCGCTTGAGCTTGTTCTTGTTTTTGTTGATACATTCGCACGATGATAGCTGCATGGTGATCATTTCACACCGTTCCGAAATTAGCCCAGCACGAATCTTGTCACAAAGTCCAAATTTGCGACACAAAAAGTGGATCTACGGTTCCAAAAAGAATATACTGTACAACGAGTCACTTGGTAGTTGACAAAAGTGGAAGTGCCTGTCCATCGATTTGTTAGCCAAGAGACTGCAATCGGGATCATCTGATGACACAGAGCTGGACAATCCCATCACGATTGTGAGAGCATGGAAGGTATCTTTGAATCTAATCGTGAAAATACATTTCTCGACTCAGAGATGTCAGCGAATCCTTCATTTATTCAATGAGATTCTCCCAAATGAATGCAATAATTGTCCGAAAATATCACACATAATCCTTTTATCCTCAGTTCAGAATTCATAACAATACCAGAGACAAACAAAACCCAAACATGTATCCCAGATGAATTAACGTTTGGAGCTGTACTGAACAGAAATACGAATAAGCGGAGCGCAGTTGTGTGGGAGACGGGGGGGAGGGGGGGGTGTAACCAAAATTAGAGGCCAAGAGGTCTAAAATAGTCCCCGCAAATGAGTTTTGTATTTTTTACATAATGCCTGCTATTTATTGTGTTCGCATGTCAAAACGACTGCTGCGGATGTCATCACTGAAACAACGAAGTCAGCTAGAAGGGCCCGTCGCTGAGCCCGTCACTGTGTATGCATCAAATGTTATTCAGGGTGCGAGAGCGGATTTTACAGACAGAGCTTTGGTTCGAACCCTCAATCATTCACAAGCAATTCATCCCTAACCCTTGAAAAACACGCTGTCGAGTTCGGATTCCGATGCACGGCCCGCTTGAGCAAAGAAAGACAGGCCACGTGATTGTTGCTTCGCTTTACAGGAGGCGCTATCAGTGGTGAGTGAAGACCAGTCCTTATTTGAGCCGCCGTACGCTGCTGCCGCCCCCCTCCCCAAGAAAGACATGACTGCATCTGGCGCGCAGGACTATGGCCAGACTCACAAAATCAACCCATTACCCCCACCGCAGGAGTGGCTCAACCAGCCGGTGCGGGTCAACGTCAAGCGAGAATATGAGCATATGAACGGATCGCGGTAAGAAGCAGAAGTGTGTGTGTGTTCGATGTATGTTGATAATATCGTTTTGAAGATCTGTTTTCGAGCTATCAGTCACACTAAAGCTAATTACTGCAGGACGCATCTATTCTAGCTGTGATGCTTAATTGTTTGAAACACTTTTCTTGACATTTATTGAACCCATGCTGATATGTTTCATATGAGCGCAGGGTACAGCACCAAACCAAAATGTCTCAAAAAGTTTCGACAGAATTCTGAAATAATGACAATCAACTTCATAATAATAATCATGATCTTACCATTTGCTAATGGCAAGAGGATAGTGCACAGGTGATTTGTTCCTTTTGCCATCAAGAGGAAAAGTATTTATTTGCTCCGCCTGTCACTATACGTCACCAGCATAAATTGAAGTCAATAAATTATTTGGGTGAAAATGTTGTGCGTTCCCATGGCGTATCTGATACTCTTTGATGGCACACGAATGTGCCAGAGCATAAAATTTGGGAATCACTGATTCATACTGGATTGAGCAAGTTTATATTTTTGTTCCTTGTTCCTTTTGCCGTCAAGAGGAAAAGTATTTATTTGCTCTGCTTGTCACTATACGTCACCAGCATAAATTGAAGTCAATAAATTATTTGGGTGAAAATGTTGTGCGTTCCCATGGCGTATCTGATACTCTTTGATGGCACACGAATGTGCCAGAGCATAAAATTTGGGAATCACTGATTCATACTGGATTGAGCAAGTTTATATTTTTGTTCTAGGAAGTGTTTTTGTGCAGTAGCACTTGCGTGACACAATTTCACGGCTTGGCAAATGAAAAGTGATTTCGATTTTGAAATCGGCAACGCTCACGTGACGATTAATTGCCAAAAGACATTTATTCGAGTGGAGGTCTCTAATAGACGAAATAATGTATGTCACTCAAGAAACAATGCAATAGTCAAATTCCTTGCTTTTTTTTTAAGTAACCCAAATGCATTCATGATTACAGCACTTCATTGTTTGTCGACGTGTCCCACAAATGTTCTCATCCAACAGAATAGCAAAAAAAAAAAAAACCCAACAACAAACAAACAAAAAAATGGTAATGCAGTATTTATTTCCAAGTTGCAAGATTTTCCACGAGCAACAGGCATAAACAAAATCCTGATGACTCAAACACATGGTGGACATGTTGCACTGAAAATGCAAGATTTAACCTATCCAATCACAAGTTTGTGTAAGGATTTGTTATCCCCCTCCCCTTGAACCCCCCCCCTCCAAAAAAAATCCTCAAATTGATATTTGCTTAGGACATTTCTCATCCGCTATTATTTACAAACCGAACAAATTCCCTTGACAATCGCCTTGTTTTAACTAACACAGTCCTTCGTTTTATCCAAACAACCATTTCACAAGAAGTCCTAATATTTTTTGGCAATACACTTGTGTGTGCTTAGCAGGGAGTCTCCAGTGGACTGCAGCGTGGGTAAATGTAATAAGCTGGTGGGGAATAACGAGACGTCTCAGATGAACTATGGAAACTACATGGATGAGAAAATTGCGCCTCCCCCTAACATGACCACCAATGAACGGAGAGTCATTGTGCCGGCTGGTGAGTACTCGAAACATAACTACGTCCCAAATGTGCTGTGTGACGTTGTGTGTGTGTCTGTGTGTGTGTGTATTTCATATACAGAAGCAATGACTTATTCATATTTTCTTCTATAGTCCTTCTCTTTTGACACAGCTTCACCCAGGCAGCCCTATTTTCATTTAGCTGGGTGCCAATGTTTCATCTCTCCCACAAGAGTGCGGCTGAGCGTTTGCGAGTCGAAATATCTCTCGGTCTGCCAGAGTTATATTTCTTCAACAGCTACGGTTTCACCAAGTTAATCATTAAAAAATGTGAAAATGGCACAACTTGTGTAGCTACAAGTGCAGTTTCAGCCCTGTCATTTCGAAGAAAGGTTACGTTGCCAGAATTATTCATTCGAGCCACAAAGATGGAAAAGGGGGTTACATTTTTCCTGAGAGCAATCACGGCAAATTGATTTTATTTAAAAAACGGCTGGGGGGGAAAAAGAAGGGGATTAAAACAAATGTAATTTGAGACCCCGGTGAATTGTCACAGGTTGATTTAAAACTGATGCAGACAGACACTCCTTTAACACGGAGGCTGCACCTTGACTGCTACCAGTCTGGGTTCCACATTGTCTAAGCAGTATATCCAACAGAAACGGAGCTTTGTTGAGTAAGTCTCTCCAGATGTAACTCCAGGTAAGAAACGTTGAACAATGACAGAAAGGGATTTGAAAATGAAGACTCCCCTGTGAAAGTCGATTTACCCGCAACATTATCCGACGCTGATGAATCCTCCCGTGGTCGAAGGAGGACAAAGAATTATTTATATCTAATAACGGAGCCGTGCCTGCCGCTGATAAATCATTCCGTTTTCAACGTGTTCATTTTTTTTATGGCGCGACTTGCTAAACGCTCAACTCCCTCCTCGTCCTCCTCCAAGTCCAGATGTAAGTTCAAATTGTATGCGCAGGCAATAAACGGCAACTTTGGTTCCTTCCTTCGGCAGATCCTTCCTTGTGGTCCCAGGACCACGTGCGCCAGTGGCTAGAGTGGGCCATCAAGGAGTACGGCCTGTTGGAGATTGACACGTCCTTGTTTCAAAACATGGACGGCAAAGAGTTGTGCAAGATGAGCAAGGACGACTTCCTCCGACTCACCACCATGTACAATGCCGAAGTTCTTCTCTCTCATCTCAATTACCTCAGGGAAAGTAAGTGTGCTCTCCCAAAATGCTCAAGTCATTGCAAACAGGCATCTGATTTGATGATTGATTTATCCAGAGTCAGTAAAAAAAAAGACGGGGCTGTGAATCCATCGAAACGGGTGGTACCTTCTCTCTTCCAATGACTGTCGTTCTTTGGAAAAGAGTCGGTACTTTCCAGCAAATCTGGAAAGAGGTTGTTTGGGTGACATTGGATGAATGATATGCATTCAACGAAAATGAAGCCGCTGACGAGAAAGAATAAATTAAACGATTTGCCGTACTGATCACTGGTGACTGTTTCCAAGCTTGCAGTTTAACTGTGACACCGTGTCCATAAGCGTTGGCTCTGTTGGTCAGCCGGGAAACTTTCCACACGACAATGTCTCAGAGGTCCTTAGCGGTGTTCCTCCCTTGTCGAGATATCCATCAAGTACATGTCTCGTTACACTTCACTTGTGCTATAAACCGCATGGACTTTTGCAAGACGTCCAGGTGCATTGCCTCGGGAAGCAGGCTAGACCGGTGTGTCCAGGCAACTAAATTCAAGCTTATTACCTCTGAAGAGGCTCTAGATGGAATCCCGCTTCATATGTTTCAGCTGGGAACCCAAAGCAATTTGCCGAGGCGGTATGCAAATGCCTTTGAAATATAAAATGCACCATCTGGCGGGGCCGAGATTTCCAAGTTGCAGCAGCTCGATGAGCTCAGCGATTATCACAGAAACCTGTTGGAGCTATCATTGGATACTTTGCATTGTAAGCTAAAGAACAGCGAGAGCTGCTTTCACTGCTGCGGAATATCAAGCAACCGCACCCGGGCGGAGTGATTGATGTCTCCACTCAACTTCACTTTACTCCCAAAACGTTGTGATGGGCCTCAACGTGATGTAATGGGAACTGTACTTTGTGGGTGTCAACAGTTTTTCCCCGTTCACGTTGTCAGGGCAGAGAGGGATGCTTGTCATGAGTATAACGGCCTCATTGTGCAATGCTGCACCGGCTGGATCTGTCTGACCGCCACTAGGCACAGCAGTTTTCATTATGGCCACCGGCCGCATGACTTAGCAACGGCTTACGTGCTGTACCGTGACTTTGCCCGGTGCTGCCCCCTCTTTTGATTTCGACCTCGTGCGCTGTGGAATCCTCTCCGCTTGCCCGTTGAAATTGCTTTGGATCCGTTCCCGACAAACAAAAGCAACGCTCCCTTCCCATCCGTGGGCTGACCTGCTTCAGAGCAGCTGTCTGGGAAGCGCACAGCAAATTATTGACACTGGAACCCTAAGGGCAAGACTAAGTGCGTTAGTACCAAATGTCTGAGAGAGACGGAGTGGGAAGATGGAGGGTTGAGGCAGACCCTGCAGGGACAATGATTTGGTAACTAAATCCATTGGCTCTTCTCCTTCTGCACAATCATCGTCGAAAGTAAACCTGTCCAGATAATAGACTTCTGGCTCCGCTCATGAGTGTTGGAGGCAGGCCGAGCATCTCAAGTGCTCAAAAAAAAAAAAAAAAAAAAATGATGGAGGGGGGGGCTGAGCCAAGCCATGCGACTACGAGTGATTTTAGGTCACGTGATAGACGCCAATAGAACTTCCCCTTCATCCATTATCCCCGAATCCCAAACAGTAAATCGTCCAAAGGGGCACTGCAATCATTTCATAGACATCTGTGTGCATCATGCGTGAGTCTGTTTATTGAACCTCTGATTAACATTCCACACAGTCATTAAGGTCTGAATTTACACTCCAGCGCAGGGCTGGGAGACACTTCCCCACCCCGCGGCCAGAGTGCGGCCAAACGTAGCCGCCGTGTCCCGTGCAGATACATCATTCAGGTTGCCACACCGGTGCCTCTGCCAGCACAATGAGAACATGTGTCTGGCCAACCAGCTGCTTGTCGTAACAAGGGTAGTTGCCAGTGCAATATTTTGGCTTGATTCTTGGTCACTTAGCCAGATTTTTGAAAAAAAATTATAAATGATGGCTGTCCGCAACTCAATGTGCTTTCAATTTGGGGTGCAATTGGAGAATTTGTTCAAATTAGTCTGTCGGGGAAGGACCGCGGACTGTTTGCTTTATCGCACCCACGTAGGTCGGTTTGATACCACATGTGCAGGGAACCGAGCACTCGCCGGGGATAAAAGCCAGGTTAAGAGAGACTGCCGAAATTACAGCCGTACCAAAACACAAAACGCGAGTGTTGGAGTATCGCTTCAAAATTTTGGGGGGAAAATTCATGGAAACAGTCCAAGCTGGTCATGTGTGCGCACCGTTGGAACACAGCAACGGTTCTGTTTCTCCACTGTCGCTGTTTCTTTTGTATCTGGCTAGATTACAGTCCAAATGGAAAAGTGCAAGAAAAAAAAAACAAAAAAACGAGCGATAAGTCTGGGCTTCTGCACCGCACTGTTGCTGAGTGGGGGACATTCTCTAACCCTCAATCGTTTATACAGACCATAAACATCTGGCCTTAAAGGCTGAGTAGGGAAAATGTTTCTCTCTCTCTTTCTACCCTCACAACATTTTTATTGAGCTCCTTACGCATTAGTTCCTTCTATTGGCAGGTTATCATTGGTGCGCAGGGGCTAGCTGGCCCTGCACTGTTAGCCGTCTGCTGATCGCAGCCAAACAGAGTTACTTTGCAGCTGCTCGCTTTAACGTGGGACTTCAGACACTCGGCGCAACAAGAATTTATATCGCTTTGAAATAAGTGGAGATGCAGATGGCTCCTGCCAGATAGGAACGCTGATATCGGACAATTGGATAATCAGTTGGAAAGACATTATGACGGGCGACTGTTTTACAAGTAGGCCTCACTACCTTTTCTCTGAACTTGCATCAATCCATCCTTTTCCGATAATGTTTCTCCCGTGCCGGGTTCTGAATTCAATTCCAGATGACTTCATGCTTCTTTTTATTTGCGAAGGCAACGTTTACCATTCGCGGTTGCGATGACTTCAAAACCATGTAGTCGTGAGAAAAAATATATATTTTGGTGCTGCTGTATATTGATGCAGCAGACTGCGTTTCACTAAAATTAAAATCGTAACGCATGGGTGAATTAAGTTTTTGATGAAATATTTATTTGGTTCTCAAGATGGAGATGATTTCTCCACTCACACTTTACAGGACATTTATGCTTGTGCTGCGGCTAGAAGCAATCCATCCATCCATCCATTTCCATTAATTTTATCCTCACAAGGGTCGCGGGGGATGCTGGAGCCTATCCTAGCCGTCTTCGGGCAGTATGCGGGGGGCACCCTGAACCGATTGCCAGCCAATGGCAGGGCACACAGCGACGAACAACCATCTGCGCTCACAGTCACACCTAAGGACAATTTAGAGTGTTCAATCAGCCTGCCATGCATGTTTTTGGAATGTGGGAGGAAACCGGACTACCCGGAGAAAACCCACGCACTGTGAGTTCGACGCGCTAACCACTGGATCACTGGGCCACCGCGGCTAGGAGCAAACTTCAACATGTAAACAAAGAAGAGGAGATATGGTGGCAATTACAGTATAATGAGTTCCAATGTGTGAGCTGAATTGAAGGTTAATAGGAGCCAATAAACCAGAAATGCATCCTAGAAAGGTGCAATTAAAACCAAATCATATAATCCATCCATCAATTTTCAATGCCGCTGATCCTGTTCAAGGTTGCGGGGAGCTGGATCCTATCCCAGCTAACTTTGGGGTGAAATAAAGGCCGACACTGTCTTGTGGTCACCAGTCATTCACAAGGCAAGGAAGTTCTCCGCCATCCATGATTTCAAAGCAAACTACATTCACAACGATAAACTCGATAAATTGCTCAACTATAAGGCAGATTTCGGTACAGTTCATACACTGAAAGTCATAAAGTTGTGTCGGTGTACGTTGGCCTTTGTGGAGAGGTAGCAACAATCCAGGGAAAGCGTTGCAATTGTTATACTTCTATAAAAGCCTGATGGTGTAGCTTTACTTTTCAGAAGCTAATGTTTTGTTGTTTTGCTTGCCAAAATGTGCTGCATTCTCTCACCAAAACACAGGCAAGCTACTCTTTCCAATACAGTGGAACCTCCAAAATTTGACCATTTTGCCAACATTTTTTCAGACAGACTTGGCTTTCAATTGCACCAAATTTGGCTGTCGTGAATTGGGCTCAAACGAGACTCCTTGCTTTGCTTGTATGGAAGTTAGGATCGTGGGGAATGACCTATACAACTCATACAAATGTTGAAACGATGACAAAAGTGGAATTTGATGTCCATTGTTTCCTTTGGGGAAAATGTGATTCCAAATGGGAACTTGAACCGGCAAAACAATATTGATAATATAGTATGACATTCTTTTGACAGTAGCCTTATTGTCTCCTTTTAATAGCTCACTACTCTTAAGTGAGTGACTTGGAACCCTGGTTTGTTGACAAAGTCTATGCCGCATGTTTAGGTGATGACATCCTGTGGTTCCATAGAATAAACAACCTGGGTTGACGGAGGTCCGTCGAGATGCTCGAGACCGAACTCTGTTCGCGTTCGTCCCTGCCTTCCTGGAGGAACGTCTTTTTTGTAACATCGGTTACATTACGTAATCTGGAACAAGAAAGATGGAGTTTTTTTTGGGTGTTTTTTTTCTCGTGGGCCACTGAGATTAGTAAGACGTGTTTGTTTTCGAAGGGAGGAAGAGGGCGTCCAAATAAATATGCAGCATAGTCAAAATTCCCTGTCATTTGCCTCTCTCGCTGGCTCTCACCCCTCCTTGCTCTCCCCTCTCCAACGTTACAGCAATCCTGGATTTCTCTGCGGGATGGTTTTTGAGGTTTTCTCAGCAATGCTGCCTGTTTGCCTGTCTGGGTCAGCCCACATCTGTGGCGCACAGCAGGAAAAGGGTTAAACGGCCCCCTTTGCTTCTCTCCTCGGTCGCCCCCATTTTGTCTTCATCTTTTCCCTTCGACGCTTTCTCCCCTGATTCCAAACTTGTTTTGGTGGCTCGCTTGCTTCCAGCGTGCCTGCACTCAGCATGAGGAATTATTTTTGTATGCGGAGCTGCGTTTGATTGCTGTGCAGGGACCCTGCCTCATACAATGGTTCCCCTGTTCTGAGGCCCCAGGTCTCTAAACGAGACCCAGAGCCTTGGGGGTGCGGTGGAATAGGTAGAACCAGGAGGGGTGGGGTGTTGGGAGGCTAGCGTACATTTGCGGAGCACCCCTCGCCCCCTTTAGCTCTACCCCCTAAAATAACAGAGCACGGCCCTCGTCGGCTACTCCATCCCCCTCAACAGTCACCGACGCAGAGGATCTGCATCAAATCATACGCAAACTTTTCTCCGCCGTGATTCATTTTTGTCCAATTCAGAAAAAAGAAAACTTTCCTCCTAACTCAGCAGCTGTCTGTGTGCTAAATCTTAACACGATCCACGTAGTAGTAGCGCTCGTGTTTTCTCTGCGCATTTTTTGGGGGGGTCTGTTTTTCCACTCGCTGATTTATGCCTGGGGCAGCTAAAATTAAGAGAGCATTTTGGTGCCGCCCAGGGTGCCTGTGTAAGCGCAGGAATGCAGCGCCGGGTTCTGCTACATAAGGTGGAATGACTAGGCACCCTTTATTATTCAGGGCTCGACTTTGCAATTAAAATGCTGACTGACTTTTAGAGTTATCCCAACATTTTAGGTCCATTGACTGTGTTGCGCCTTGCTGCAATTGCCGGGAGTTTGTTCAATGCTTCACTCCGACGGTATACGAATTCCACTGAGTTCGGTCATGATGTCCAAAATGGGACCTCGGTTCAGAAAATTTGATGAGCAGCCCGAATGTCAATGGACTTTCTACTGCCACCTACTGGCTTTATCAGTTAGCGGCCCGGTGGACCAGTGGTTAGCTTGTCAACCTCACAGTGCAGAGGTACCGGGTTCAATTCCAGCTCCGGCCCCCCTGTGTGGAGTTTGCATGCTCTCTCTGGGCCCGGGTGGGTTTTCTCCGGGTACTCCGGTTTGCTCCCACATTCCAAAAACATGCATGGCAGGCATGATTGAACACTCTTAATTGTCCCTCGGTGTGAGTGTGAGCGATTGGCTGGCAACCGGTTCAAGGTGTCCCCCGCCTACTGCCCGAAGACGGCTGGGATAGGCTCCAGCACCCACCGCAACTCTTGTGAGGATAAGCGGATCGGAAAATGGGTCGATGGATTTTTATCAGTCCTCACAGTGCCGTACAAAATGTATGAAAATGCACGCTGCAACGCTCAAAATAATGTTTTTTTTTTATAACCAGTTGGGAGCATTTATAGGTTCCTCTAGCAGTTCCTCTGTGGGTTTATTTGCTTTTAGAATTGCATGATGCATATTGAATCATGTCCTGCAAATAGTGGCCCCCTACCCTTGCTTTAAGGGTATTCACATTCAATCAAATGTAAAATGAATATCAATGTAACGCAAATATTTGGACATACACGGTTGTAATCCATTTTCTGGTTTTGTCAGCTTTTAATGCCATTCGTATGTGATCTCCTTGCAGGTAGCTCATCATTATCCTACAGTACACCATCACACACAGACGCATCCCCACGTCTGGCTGCCAAAGAAGGTAGGCGCACTTCTTGTTATTGTTTCGGTTTGGAATTCGTGTTTCTATTCATACATGGCAAAACACGTGCGAGCTACAAAGAGATGGAAGAGGAAAAGTAGGCGAATAAAGGGGAAGTGGAAGGCAACAAATTGCTCGTGGGAGTCCAAGGCAGTTTCCCCCGTTTGCTTTTGAACAAGCTCAGGCGGCAGGTGTGGCTTTTGTGTGGGAGACAAGCCACGTTGGAGAGAATAGGAGCGCACATTAACAAGGAGCTAAAAAGTGGCGCGCTGATGAGTTCCATCCGCAGCAGGCAGGGTGAAGACAGACGGTGAATGCAATGATTATGGAAACAAGACAAGAGGCATGAGGTGGATATGCATCAGTGACAGGTGCTGAGGCAACAACGCGAGGATGATTGGCTACTCAGAGCAGATTGTATCGGGCGTGAGTTTGTCCACGTGATGGTTGAAAAGAAGGCAATCAAAGGACGTTTTGCAATTTGTTGGAAACGTTTGGCGCAGTGGATGTAAAAAGTCGACGCACTCGGTTTAAACGCCAGGTTTTTGTGATATAAAACCTGACCGTTGAAAATCATTACCTGCCATTAATGTGGCCGATAACCTGTCCAACTCAATTGATTTATTTTGAAATATTTTCAAGAAGGGAAGTACGCACAAAATGTATTCTCAAGTGTGCATGTACTTTTATAGTTAGGATTAGCGATGAGAAAGTGAAGCCCTGAGATGCTTCACGAACCAGTTGTTGTATTTATTAACTCCGTTAGACGGCACGGTTGGTTTCAAAAAAAAGGGGGTTTCAGAAATGGCAAGTAAGTGCACATTCAGCCTTTTGTTGTACAGAGAGAACCATCTAGAAGAGTCCAAAAAAATTAATTGAAGCTCATTCCAAGCGTCATTTTCCCATCGCTAGTTTGTTAGGTTGTGTCTGTGTTCAGAATTTACACATTCACATCGCATTCACATTAAAATGCTTTCGAGTGAATCCTAAACATTTCATTTTTTTCTGTGCTGTTTTTTTTGTTCTTTTTGCTTTCTATGAAAGTTTTGTGCTCACACTGCTATTTCGAACTGTTCATAAGTGCCTCCACCATATATGAAGCACCGTGTTCAGCTGAAGAAAAACAGCCTCAAAGCGTGATGCTGCCACCACCTTTGCTTTTTTTTGTGCCAAACATACCTTTTGAACTTGTGGACAAAAAGACAAAAAGATTAACCTTGGTTTATCAGACCATGACAAATTTTCCCAACGCATGTGAGAAAATATATTTTAGTTGGACTCCCTTTTTAACTTGAGTTTGATTGTGATTGCTTCATTTTGAACACAGCCATGTTTCAGTTGTAAGAGGGTGTGTACACTTTTGCATCCACATTGTTTCAGTTTCTGTCATCAGTTGTTTCGATTTTATTTTTTTTTTTTATGTTCATTGGAGTTGTACAGTTTATAGGTCACGTGGAATGGTGGAAAAGATTTTAAATGATTGACGTGGTAAAAGGCGTTGCTTTCAATATTACAGTTGACTGTTGTGGTGTACAATTGAACAACATGAGACCAAGAAGTGTTGAGAATATTTTTGGCCAACCAAAATGACCCCAACATTTGGAAACTGTGCAATTTTACAAAAACAGAAAACGTCAAGATTAAAGACAGTGTGAGCAGTATTGTCATAGTGGTACTTTTTGGTTTAAGTTTGTTAGTCATGGTGCAGATGGAGAATTTTTGGTTCACTTTTCACAGTTAAGAGTCCGCATGCACTGGGATCCAATCGGAGCAGCGACCCAAAACAAAGATTTTTGCGGCAGTTCACAACCACTTTCACATGTCCACTAAATGACAGGAGTAGGAACATTTTTCATCAAATGAGTCAGAGGGATATTTTTAAGATTTATTGGTGTTAGTGTAGCTAATTTTGTGAAACGGTGACAGTGTGCTTGAAATCACACAATCTACTCCTGGGACGGTGAACATTCAATTTGGACGGCTCTTGAAAACTGTTGCCATCATCAAACCTTAACTTTTCAGACAGTAATATAAACGTTTTGTGAAAAAAGACAAAATCACAACTTTTCCTTCTGGAGAAATACTTTAGTCTTGCTGTAACTTCTTAATGAGTTTGGGTTGATCCGACTACCTCTTTTGGATTACGTTTGGCAAACAAAAAGCCAAGAAAACACAACACCCTTTTTGCACATTGAACCGATGTCTTATTGTGATACGCATGACGACTATGATGTTTTTTTTTTTTTTCCAATGCCAGGGGCATTATTTTCCCAAATAAGTTTGAGTCGTTTTCTAAATAATCCAAATGTAAATTCAACCAGCTCTTCATTTTACCGACAAAATCATAGCGCATAACCGAGCTAAGCCTTTTCAGGACAACGCCCGGAGTGACTTCCTGCGGATACCTTTTCACTCTACAAACATGACTGGGTCGACATAACGCAAACACGGCCCGAACCTCGCATTGCAAAAAAGAAAGCTACACATCCTTTACGTCGGCCATCTGGTGTCACCGCAAGAGGAGCGAGAGCCCGCTGCAATAACAATGATAGCCTGACTCGCAGGATGAGAGGCCCATCCAGGCAGGAAAAGAGGAAACTCTGCGTCTGATAAGTGTCCGAAAATGCCCTCGAACTCGTTATCTGCCCCCGGGCGGCCTGCGCTGCAGCGGGCCGATGTCGCGAGGGTTCTTTACAGTGCGAGTCGCCCATTGGGAAGGACAGATAAGATTCTGCTCGGTCACCCCTCGACCCCCGGCCTTCCTGCTTCTCAGCGCCAGGTATTTGGACTGGCACGGAGAGCGGGTCACTCCCTTCAAGAGCATTTCCCTTTCACAAGATGTGACTTCTATTATGAGCTGCCTGAGTGACGATACACGTGATCCATTCTTTTAGTCAATGTACGGCCTACTCCCAGCCAAGAAAAAGAGGATCCGGTCACGTGATATCCTCAATCCGAACGTTGACACGGAAATAATGCAATTAGTTAATGCGTATGGAACGACTGCTGCTTGAGCTTGCCGTTTTAACCTCTTGTGTCGGGGCACACTTTCTAATATCGATCATTTCGCCATCTTTCCTAAGAATAAAGAAAAATCATTAAAGCTATTAAATGATGAGGGCAAACACACTATATTCCCGTTTTGCAAAAAGTACCTGCACTCAGTTCTCTTAATTTTTAAAAAAAATTGTATGATTAGCTCTCAGTTACTCTTCACATCGTAATTTTGGAGAATTGTTCCCAAAAATAAAGTAAGGTTGAACACTGTCAGTTTCAGCATGATGGTTGACCAACAGTTTTTCATTAAAAAAAAAGGGAATATTTATCAATAATAATCGAAACAATAATGTTTTCCTTGGTCAAACTGTTGACGTCAAAAAATTGTAATAACCATGCACCTATTTTGGTAACATTGTAACAGTCATGCAAGTTTCCGAATATGAAAAATATTACGCATCAGAAAAACAAAAGGTTGGTCTTTTTTTACATCCCGTATCTCATTTTAGTATTCAGACTCGTTTAACAACTGTAATAATAAGTTTACCACAAAAATTGAAAATGGAACACTGGATTTATTTTTTTTTAACGGGGATTTTTAAGACCTTTTCACATCATATTGAAGGATTTAAGTGTGTTCTGTGAAAGGATACCGAAGGCCTTCATTTAGGAACGTAAGACATTTCAAGGACCCGTGAGCAGCCTTCTTTTTGGTTTGGAATCATGTAAAAGACCATTTTTGGCGGGGTAAAATGTAGCACGTTTCGCACAGCAACAACAGCCAGTTTGCCTTTTTTCTTTGTATTTTTGTTAGACTCTTCCGTAAAAGTCAGTCGCAGCATTCTGCTTCAATATGTTCTAAAAATGTGAGGCAAACAAAGTTTGCTCCGGGATAAGCCTTTATCAAAAAGTTTCACAGATCAGCGCTGCCAGATGTTCATGTTCATATTGCCACTCGAGAGGAGCCAAATACTTTGCAGGCTCTTTGGGGTTGAGTAAGCACAAGCATCCCGCAGGAGACAACCCTTAATCTGGCCCAGACACTGCGGTGTAAAATGTAATGTTATGAATAAAAGGCAGCGTATGAAACACGGAATGTAGCAGCAGTGAAAGAGTGTGAGTGTCTGTCCGCGCACGCGCGTGTGTGTGTGTGAGTGTATGTGTATGTGTATGTGTGTGTGTGTGTGTGTGTGTGTGTGTGTGTGTGTGTGTGTGTGTGTGTGTGTGTGTGTGTGTGTGTGTGTGTGTGTGTGTGTGTGTGTGTGTGTTTAAAATCTGTCTGCTTGTGGATTGGCATGCATGTGCACGTGTGGCTTGCTGCATGTCTCCTTCGAACACGTTACATTGCTTCAGACGAGCCTTTCCTAAACTGAGTGTCGGGATCCAAAATGTGCCAGTCTAAATCTGGTCACTCATTGTGAAAGTAAAATGTTGTGTGTGTGTGTGTGTGTGTGCGTGTGTGTGTGTGTGTGTGTGTGTGTGTGTG